TTCCTCCAGCCTGTCACTGTCGCTTGAGGCCGAATCGAAGTTGAGTTCCCAGTGAGCTCATGCCAAGACTGAGGTCTTATAATCTGGAGAAACTGTCCAGAGATGGTGGAGTCGGGAAGATTTAGCTTTTACCTCTTTTAGCATGAGCAGAGGGCCCCATTTTTAAGCAGATCGGCTTTGTTCTTGCTGAAATGCTCAATTCTGCGATCCACAAGTAGGGGCCCTAAACCCTAAAAAAATTTTGAGTCCCTCCGGGCAGTTAACCAAGCTCACAAGTCACTGCCTACCACCTCTCCCCAGGATGAGGATAGGGGTTGTGCCTTCTGGGCTAAACAGTTAACAAGCATTTCTTCCTTGCTCCGCTCGTGCTGAAAGGGTGAGTGTAGCTGCCTAGCGTGTTCCCTGCGCTAGGAATAGGGGAGGGCGTCGTCCCTGCGCCTTATTGAGGGGATAGTGCCCTAGGGTACTTTTCAGCGTCGCTCCCTGCGCTGAGTCAGGGAAAGCGTCGTCCCAGCGCCTAGTTGATGGGAGGCGTCGGCCCTGCGCCAAAGATACCAAGTTGAGGGGCTGCAAGCTACACTGACTCTGGAGGCCCTCCTGCCCATTTAGGTGGTGTAGTAGGTGCCTGTTGGCCCGTTTCAGGCCCCATACCACCCCTAAGAATGGGCGTGGAAATAGTCGTCAAAGGAAGCTTAAGAGGATCCATAGTCTTTGCTTCGCCGTAGCTGGACCAGTGTGCAAGGTGCTGGTTTGCAGAGAGTGCTGACAGTACTGCAAATAAAAGGTTTCTGATAGGCAGAGGACGTTGCAGGACTGCTGGAATTAGACGCCTGTAGTCTGCAGGCCGTTCCACATGAGGCCTAACCACACTCCCAGCGGCAGAAGTTGCCATAGTGACAAAAAATTTCAACGTGTAGGTGCCTCTAAAGGAATGCATTAGTGGGAGGGGCTCCTCCTTTGGGCCTTTCCCTTAGGGCAGTAACAAAGTTTGTCCCCCCCAAACTTGCTGCCCTCACTCCAGTGCGAACCGAAGAGCCAAATTTTTCTTAAGCTTCACAAACGACCTGACAACAGCTCAGTTCTATGAGCAGCAGTGCCTCCCCAGATCAAAAGCTCCGCCAGACTGTGGGTGAGGTTACAGAGCCCATTTTGGGCTATAGCTGAGTAGATTGCAGGTGCCGCAGGGCTAACCCTGGGAGGTCTTGGACTAGCCTCCAGCTTGCGACTACTTTCGGGTAGCGACGGAGCAACAGGGGGGGTCAGCGAGCGCGTAGAGGCCCCCTTTCCTACTCAGTCACCAGGTAGGCCGGTAGTCCCAGTACAGTTTATTTAGAGCCTTGAGGCCAGCCGGTTTCACCTTTGTACATAGAAAGGGCCATTGGCCGCGACCTGGACCCCAGTGCGCAGAGAAGCTGAAACAAAGATCAAAGCAGCAGTTGAAATTTCAAAGTCAATTCAGAAGGAATTTGAAAGAGAACCAAAAGGCGATTTGCGACAATACGACCCAACACCTGAAGAAAGAGCAAAGCATGAGTTGACGCATTTGCCTAAGGAACCATGGTGCGAAAGTTGCACAGCTACAAGAAGCCGTGAAGACAATTTCTCAGTGAGTGAAAAGAAGTATGACGGATCACTGGTTTCGATGGATTTCAAGTTCACTGGTACAAGGGATGAAGAAAATGCAAAAGATGTCAAAGATGCACTTTGCGTCAGCCTGGTCATGGTTGACCAAGAGACAAAGTTTGTACACGCAATCCCAGTACCGCGTAAAGAAGTCACACCTTATTTGGTTAGTGAAGTGTGTAGAGTTCTGATGTTGATGGAGCCAAAGGTCATTCTAAGGACTGGCACGGAGCCTGCAATGAGGTCACTAAGGCGACAAGTTGAAATAATCCGGAAAAGAAATGGATTGAATACGGAAATTCAAGATGCACAACCGGATGAGCATCAAGGACTGCAAGTTGAGCGATGGGTACAAACTGTGCGAAATTTGTCCAAGACGTTGGTCTATGGAATTGAGAAGGAAGCAAAGTTTAAGATAACTTCTGAAAGCACGTTGTGTCCGTGGGTTGCAAGGCATGCAGCATTCCTACTGAACAGGTTTGTTGTACACAAAGGAAAGACACCGTTTGAGTTAGTCTTTGATAGAGAGTACAAAGGAACATTGGCTCCGTGGGGAAGTGCAGTTCTTGCAAGGGAGCTGCCAAAAGTGAAAGAAAAGGGAGAACCTTGGAGAAAAGGTATCTTTGTTGGGAAAGACATGGTAAGCAATGCTAACCTCGTAGCAACTATCAGAGGTATCATCAAAGCACGGACGATGAGGAAGTGCGAACCAATGTTTGACGTTGAAGCATTGATGGTTGCAAGTGGAACCCCATGGAATCATTCACAAGAAAGTATGGTTGGAGAGAAGGACATGAAAAGAATTCCACCGCGCAAAGGAATTGAGCCAATTCAAGGAGGAGCTTTGCCTGCTCCAAGAAGTCCCATGGAACAAGCCGCAAGTGACCCGCCAAGTAGCTTGGGTTATAGCCCGACAGATGCAGAGCCGGAAGAAGGAAGAAACGAAGGAAGTCAACAAGCGGAAATTGAAATGGAAGAAAATGAAGATCCGGGAGAAGGAGAGCATCCCCGGAGTTCAAGAGGCGGAAGTAGTATGTCAGAAGAGTTGGTACCGGGCGAAGGCGGTTCACCATCACCAAAACGCGGTGGAGGTGTTGAAATTGAAGTAGAGCAACGTCCGGAAAAGATGCGCAGAGCCCAAGCCGTGAAGGAAATCAGAAAAGCAGAACCGGAAGATGACGGAAAGTTCTCAGTGAGAAGAGTGATGAGTTTGAAAAGTGTCCAGGAAATTAGCAAGTTTTTGAGAGGACCTTCCAAAGTATCACAATGATGAAGAAGTTGGGTTGGAAGATCTAGATGAAGTTGAAGACGATTTGACGAAGAAGAATGGATTAATGAAGAAGAAGGTTATGAAGAGAAAGTTACCTGGTCCAACGACGTAGCTGAAGGACCTCCAAAGCTTAGTGAAGACCAGTTGCAAAAGGTTGATGCTGAGTCACGAACTACTGAGATTGATAGGTTGCCGGATATGACAGTGCTAAAGAAGCTTGAGAAAGGTGCTGATTTGTCCAAGTACAAGTTCTTGTCAACCCAGGTTGTCTACGACTGGAGGCACAGACTTGGTAAATGGCAAAGGCGTGGACGTTTGGTAGCAGGAGAGTTCAAGTGGTTAACAAGTTATGATCTAGCAAGCCTATTCTCACCAACAGGAGTAGCGAGCACAGTGAAGCTGTTGTCAGCATTGTTCGTTTCAAGCGAAGGTTACAGTTTAGGAAGTCTGGACATCAGCGATGCTTATTTGCAAGTTGAATAGGACGAGCCCACCATTGTGGAAGTGGATGGAGAGTACTATGAGCTAGGCTACACGTTGCCAGGACAGCGGACAGGATCCTGCGCATGGTTCAACAAGTTGAGCAAAGTACTTGAAGAGTACAAGCTTGAGTCAGATGCCGGATTACCTGCATTGTTTTTCCGGAAACCTGAAAAGGGTAAGCCTGGATTCATGGTACTGAGTCATGTAGATGATCTTGAAGTTTTTGGAAGTTCAAAGGAGTTCAAAGAGTTAGTGACGTTCCTTGAAGGAAAAGTTGAAAGTTGAAGGGCCAATTGAAGGAGATAAAGGATCAATAAGTTTCCTGAAGAGAGATTTTGTAGGCACAAGTGAAGGTATTGAAATCTCTATGAATGACAAGTACATAGAGAAACTTGTTGAGGTATTGCAGTTGGAGAATGCGTACCCTAAGAAGTTGCCGTGTCCTGCAGATGGAGGAAGAGGAATGAAAGCAGCTAAAGGCGCAGATGAAAGTTTAAGTCCAGAAGAGCATCGCGTGTACCGGAAAGGAGTAGGTATTTTGCTGTACCTAGCACCTGAAAGACCTGACATTATGTACACGTTGAAAAAGCTAAGTACACGTTTAGCAAGTCCAGACACAGGAGATTTAGAGATGCTAAGACACGTCGGTAAGTACCTGAAAGGATGCCCTGAAGTTTCATTGATACACAAGAAAAGTTTTCCAGGAAAGAGCTATCGAAGAGAAGAAAACAAGGCTAAGCACAAAGCAAAAGACGTGTATTCCGCGCCAAGTTTGATTGAAGTGTTTGCTGATTCAGATTGGGCTGGAGACAAGTCCAACCGTCAGTCAGTGAGCTGCGGAGTGATCATGGTGAATTCAAACCTTGTTCACTTCCAATCGAAGAGGCAAAGATCGATTGCGCTAAGCTCGTGTGAAGCTGAGACGATGGCGTCAGTGTCTATCATGCCAGAAGCGATGTTCTTGAAAGAGCTGATAAGCAGGATAACTGGACAAGTCCCTGAAGTTACCCTGTACAGTGATAGTTCATCGCCAAGACAGTTGATAGCAAGGAAAGGATTAGGAAAAGCAAGACATCTGGATGTAGGACTACTTGGGATTCAGAAGATCCCAGATTTGAAAGTCAAAAGCATCAAAGGTTCAGAGAACCCAGCTGATTTGGGTACAAAAGGATTGACAAAGGAAAAGATCAAGAAGTACATGACAGCGCTAAGTTTCGTCGGTGACTACTTGAATGAAGTAGAAGAAAAAGTTAAGAAGAGTTCAAAGAAGAAGTGGGCAGAAGATGAGACCCAAGGAATAGTAAGATCTATAACAGTTGCATTGATGATCACACTTGGTGAATCTGTGCAGGTGTTGAAGCTTGAAGATGCAAGACACGAAGCGATTGATGACGACGTTGGCGTCAAAAGTGAAAGTGAAGAAGGACCTGTTATGCTGATGATGATTGTGCTGAGTGTGTTTGCAGCAGTCATTGTTTGCATGTGGTTGATTGCGAAGATCAAGACTAAGAAGCATGTGATTAGGTTGCAAGCAAGCATGTCATGTTTGAGCATATGCATGTTTCCCGCAGCATTTTGGCTTAAGCGAAAGGTTGAAGCAAGCCATTGTGTGATTGAAGGAAAAATGGCTGAAGAAAATGAAGTGCCGAGTGCAGTCTCAGGTGCTGCAAGCAGCGCTCCTCAACCTGAGTTTGAGAATGCCCTCAGCGGAGAAGTACAAGCGCGACGCGAAATGGTTGAAGCAGTGAGTGCAGCTGCAGAAGAAGAAAATGAGGAGAAGAAGGTAAATGCTGAGGAGATGAAGAAAAGGTTTGAAGAGTTGGAGGCGATGAAAGTAGAAGCAGAAACACGACGTCAAGATGAAATCACCAAGATGATGAAGGAGGATGTTAGTGAGAAGAAAGACGAAGAAGAAAAGAAAGATAGTAGCAGTAGCAGCAGCAGTTCTTCGAGTGATGAAGGTGATGGCGGCGATGCGAGGAAAGAAGAAGATGAGAAGAAAGAAGAAGATAAGAAGAAAGAAGAAGAAAAGGAGAAAGAAGGAGAAAAGGAGAAAGAAGGAGACAAGTCGAACATTAAAGTTCCAATCTCCTTGAGTCGTTGACCCAGATGGTTCAGTTTGACGACCCTGAAGAATCCGTTGCTGAGGATATCTTCGTGATTCGCGGCCGCCTGATCTCGATGCACCAAGGAATAAGCCTGAAGGACATCCAAGGACTACGCGTCCAGCTGCTGGAAAAGATGAAGGATTTGGAACACGGCATGTCCGTGTACCAGAAGAAACAAGAACACCTAAACTCGGTGTTCGACGAAAAGGACAGTGAGTTCCAGGCCACCCGCGTCCGGGTGAAAGAGCTAAGTGAAGAGTTGGATGAGTTGAAGAAAAGGGTGCAAACTTTGCACGAAGAGCTCAACAAGTTAGAAGATCCGCTCCTGGAGGTGCAGGAGGACGGAAGACTCTTCCAGCGCGGACATGCGGAAGGAGAGGAGTGCCTCCGCCTATTGTCCGAGGCTGAAAGGCAAGTGAAAGTTGCCCTAAGCCAACAGCCTTCAATCCCAAGCCCGTCTGCTACAGAATCAGCAGGATCAACGCACCGACCTGCACGGTTGAAGTCGCTTTTGGCGGACGCAAGGAGGCGAGGCTCACAGAGCAAAAAGAACATGAAGAGGAAGAGAATCAAAGAAAGAAAAGGCGTGAAGAGAGAGAGAGAGAGAAGAAAAAGCAAGATGAGAAGAAGGATGAGAAGAAGGATGAAAAGAAGGATGATCAAGATGAAGATCCAAAGGACGACCCGATGGGTGGAAAGATTTCCACAACGGTTGTTTCAAAGTCGTTCCTGAAGCTGCTGAAGGATCCAGGATCCATTGATGTGGACGACAAAGATGACAAGAAGGACAGGAAGAAGGGCGGTGATGGAAAGAAGAAGAAGAAAGATGACAAGGACCCACCCACACCGTTGACAAAGGCTATGCCTGTGGCGGTGAAGAAGCAAATGGCTCAAGTTTTGCAGAAGCCAATGCCAAAGAAGCCAAAGGTTGGATCCCAAGGGGATGAGGAGTCGCCGCGCAGAAGTGAGCGACCAAGCGAGCCTGCAGAGCCACCGCGAAAGAAAGTGAAAGGAAGTTCCGATGTTCCTATGAGAAAGCGAAAGATCAGATCCAGAAGGATGAGAAGCCGTATGATTACGGCTACCAAGGATTTGATGCCCAGGTGAGGTGCTTTTTCTGCGAGCAGCGTGGCCACAAGGCCGAAAACTGTCGGCTGATGAAGCAGATAGCAGCCAGCCTGAATATTAGCCTCCCTTTGGAGGGAAAGAGAAGGCTACTGTGCCTGTCGTGCGTATACAGTGGCCGCCGCGCAAGTGAGGGCCATACCTGGCAGAAGTGTTGGCATTATGCCAGTTGGCAGGCGCACTGCGCGATCTTAACCCTTGCACAGGTGAGCCGTACAAGAAAGAAGACGATAAGCCACCTGAAGCAGAAAGCGAAGTTGCAGTGCAAGGTGAAAAAGATGATGAAGTTTCCAAGGCGTTGGATAACATCGCAAGGGTCTGTGCAAGGATCAGCGAAGAGGAGAGAGTAAAAAGGGAGGATCAGGAGAAAGACGACAAGAAGGAGAAAGAGAAGATTGAGGAAAAGGACGATGAAAAGCAAGCTGAAGGATTGAAGACTCCAGGAGAAGATGAGTCTGACAAGATTTTGGTTGAGATCAAAGGAGATGTCAAAGACGATAAGGTGGTTGGCGATGACGTTTCAAAGCCAGACGAAGAGAAGAAAGATGCAAAGGAGCCAGAGAAAGAAGAGAAGCCAAAGGAAAGTGCAAAGGACAAGAAGAAGAAGAAAGTTGGAAAAGTGAAAAAGGAGAAGAAGACGAAGAAAGCCACAGCGAAGAAGACGCCAAAGAAAGAGAAGAAGGTAAAAGATGCCCAGAAGAATGATGAGATTAAGAAGCCTGAGGATGAAGCAGGCAGTGATTCGACGTATTCCTAAAGTGGAAGTATCACCAAGAAGATCATTGAATGATCTGATGATGAAAGACCGGAACCAGGTCTATAAACAAGGGTTTTGCGTGATTTAGCAAGTCAAAGACGTTTTGCCTGAGTTAGATGGAATCTGACAGGCCATGATGGCAAAGCTGAGAATTTAGTTTTATTATCAAGTTGGTTGAGCATAGCTCCCAAGGTGAACCAGATGTTTGAACACTGGTTTTGCAAGCAAGCCATTCAGAAAGTGCAAGATTAAAGTAAGAAGTAACAAGTTATCAGTGAGAGCAGCGATTGTACATACTCTGAGAGAGGCGTAGTTGCTGCCCCATATTACAAATCGTTTTTATCTTGTTACTGTTAGTGGTTAATGATGGATGAATGCTTGATTTCTGAAAGGCAATTTCGACCACTGAAATCAGTGCGAAGACTGAAAATGATCTTTGAGAGAGATCAGTGTGTGATCACGAGGAGCATCATGTCGCACAAACCTCCTGTATTCCGTGGTGAGGACTATGACTCCAAAGTCAAAGCCTTGCTATGTCGATTGGGAGGCAAGTATCCGCGCTGCAAAGATGAGTGGAGAGATGATTGTTACAAGTTGATGAAAGTTTTTTGGTAACTAAAGTCGGTAACTAGATGTCGGTAACTAGTAAAAGTTTTCATATTAATGTTTGATGAATCAACCAATGGTGATACACCATTAGTTGATGGGGGCGTAACAAACATTTCACATTCATGTATCACCTTGTATATATCACCCGCGTGTATAGGCTCAAAGGTAGGTCAGAGGTAGATGCCCATAGTTGAGGGTAGCATCCAAGACCAAGAGATCTGCTGAAGAGTAAAAGTCTCTGAGAGCAGTTGGGAAGGTTTGGTAGAAGGGCTTAGATTTGTGGTATAATTTTCACAGGCTCATTTGGTGTTGGACTTGGCCTATCCCAGGGCGCTGCAGCGCCTATCATACATGTTGATTTGTTTTCCGTGCCGGGCGTGAGTTGTGCACCGCTTGGGTGTGCGAACAGGAATGCGCACGGGTCCACATTCGTTGCCCTCGATCCATTTGTGCCGTGAGTCATTCCTTGCGCCTTGTTGCAGATGCAGATTGCGCAGAGGATTTCAGCAATTTTGTACATGATCTGATTTTTCTTGTGATCAATTTGGAAAGCCCTGGTCTTTTGAAGCCTCCGCTCGCTCCTCAGTGTGGAACGCGCCATTCTTTGCCGAACGGAAGGAGGATGCAGTTTTGATTAATATGTTCAGTTTGAGCATGCTTTCCGATCGCCAGTTTTGTTGCTGTCTTCTGTTCCAGCTGCCTTTTCTACATTGCAGGTTCCCTGCAGCCACAATCGCAGGAGTTCATATACGAAGGTTGATTTCAGCAAAGTTGAACGGCGGTACTGCGCAGCATTGGGCCAGTGCGTTGCACATCAACTGAAGGTGCCCCCCGTTGCTCCCCGAGCTACCGACATACAGTTGGCGCAGGTGCTTGTTGGTGCGCAGCCTCGGAAACTTCCTTTACGGATCATGCCTGAGTTCAAATTTCGTTGCCGTCTGCAGTGCATGACTGTGCCCACTGTTGATGACCGCAACCTTCTGACCAAAGATTTGCATGTCAGTTCACTTTGCATTCCGAAAGGTTCCAAGTGTGTGCCATCGTCTTCCAGGGGGAAATGTGGTGAGGGAAGCCGACTTCAATGCAACAGTGTCAGTTGGAGCCAACTGTAGTGCATCGTTGTCAGGCATGTTGTCAGTGGGAGACAACGATGACTCCCGCGCAACAGTGCCAGATGTTAGCCAACAGCCTGCTCTTACATCGTCCACTGCCTTACCTGGTCATACTGTGCCCTGTTCCTACCCATCAGCCAAGGTCATGAGTTCAAAGACTGGCTCCACACCTGCTAACCCTAACGATAAGCTCACGCTTGCCAAGGTCATGATTCCAAAGACCGGCGCAGCTCTAGCTAATTCTAATGATAAGCTTAAGCCTGCCGAGGTCATGATTTCAAAGACCAGCTCCACACAGCAAACCCTGTCGCCCATGCCACACCCACTAAACCCTAACGCACCTACCAAGGTCATGCTTTCCGAGACTGGTTCTGCTCCAGTCGCCGACGCGTGCAAGGGTGTCAATACCATTGACATGGAGTCAGGCAAGCGGGGGAGTGCAGGCTTCCCGTCTGAGCCGCCGCAATCTCTGGTGCAGCAGGTTCTCAAAGACAATCCGGCGGAAGAGTTTGCCCGAACGCTGGGAGGTGTGCCCACGGCATCCCAACTATGTGCCTTATTCGAACTACTGCCGGGTGAAGTTCCTGCGAGATCTGCAGGGGATGCACGGGAGAAATCCTGGACCTCGGGAGCCTACGTGAAAGGTGGCTGCGTAGGCCTCAGGAAGAACGCTCGCGAGTTCCCTGCGTCGACCTCTGCGCTCACCAGGTTTATGAAAGCAAAGGTGCCGCTGGCCAAATTCTCGGCGGTTGCCGTCTTCTCCAACATACAGACCCCTCTTCACCGCGACGCAAACAACTTGACAGGTTCGTTGAACTACATCGTAAGCTTGACCAAGTTCAAGGGAGGAGGAGTATGGCTGGAAGATGATGCTAGGAAGCGTGTGATCGACGATGAGGGGGTTATGCGCCGTGGGCGCGTGCTGGACGTACTCAAGCAGCCGCTGGAGTTTGATGCCAGCAAACGTCATCGGACAGGGAGTTGGAAGGGCAGCAGGATAGTGCTTGTTGCTTTCACTCTGGACAGGCTTTGCAAGCTATGCACGGAGGAGACTGACTTCTTGCTGAAGCTGGGGTTTCCTTTGGTTGACTGTGACAATACACATGCCAGTGGTCATTGCAGTGCAATAGTACAGGACACGTTGTGCGCAGCTGCCGTGCTTCACCAACTGTCACATCGCAGCGTGTCCGAGCGCCCACAGAAGGAGGTGGTTGCGGCGCATCGGGGTCAGCGCCAGACCGCAAGACTCCAGGTGAGTATGATTTTGGAGTCTACTACATTGAAGCTGAATTCGTTAGGGAAGCAGCGCACCTCGGCCATCCTCGGAATCTCTTTGGATTGTTGCCCGAACACCTTGAGGCTGCAGTGTCTGCCATGGCCACTAAGACTGCCGACGACGTTGTGAACAAAAGGCGAACTTGGCTCGACAAATGGATGAAGCGTGCCAAGGAGATTGAGGCCAATCCCGACCCGAGTTGGAACATTGAGGACAAATCCATGCGGCGCATCTTAAGTGGCAAGCGGCTACAGCTACTGCGCGAGATAATACAGGAAGAGGGGTATGGGGATGTCACGCTGGCAAGGGACATTCAGCACGGCTTTGACTTGGTTGGGCGCACTCCGGAGTCCAACGTCCTCCCTGGCAAACTGAGTCCAGCTACGCTAACAGCAGCAGACCTTGAGGCGTGTGCGCCGAAAGTACAACAAGCCTTGAAGCGATCTCTTGGGTCATCGGGCGACAGCGACTTGGATGAGGCGCTGTGGCAGAAAACCCTTGACGAGGTCAGTGCAGGGTGGCTTGAAAGTCCCTTTGGTTGGGACACTCTTGGGCACCACGGGGTCCCTTCGCGCAGGTTCCCATTGCGCAAAACGGCAAGGTGAGACCCATTGACGACTACAGCCGTAGTGGCGTCAACTCCTGTGTGACCAGCGCAGAGAAGCCCACAGTTGACAATGTTGATGTTGCGTGTGCCATGTTTTCTAAGCTGACGTGGTCTCTTCGTGCAAAGAACCGGGACTCCACAGTTCTGGGTCGCGCTTTTGATCTCACTGCTGCATGTCGCCAACTTTGTGTGGGGACTGATTCTAAAGGTTTTGCCATTATTGCCGTGTATGATCCTGGGAGGAAGAGGTCCCTGATTTTCAGGCAAGTTTGTTTACCTTTTGGTGCCAAAGCATCTGTCAACGGGTTCATTAGGTGCTCTCGGTGCATACAATGGCTTGCGAACGTTTGCTTGTGGATTCCAGCGACTTCCTATTACGATGACTTCATTGTGGGGAGTACATCCATGCTGGCGAACAACACTGACAAAGCAATGGGACTACTGTTCACTTTGCTGGGGTGGAAGTATGACTTGACTGGTTCGAAGGCGGATGTTTTCTCGTGTACTGTCTCTGCTCTGGGTGTTTGCTTTGACCTATCGTCAACTGGGTGTGGCACAGTGCGGATTGCAAACACCGATAAGAGGCGTGCAGACCTGGACCTTAAGTTGGCGGCGATTCTTGGGAATAACGCTTTAACAATGAAAGAAGGTCTGGAGCTTCGTGGTCGGCTGTCTTTTGCAGAATCCCAAGTTCTCGGGAAAGCTGGTCAGTACGCTTTGAAGGTGCTTTCAGAGCATATTCATGCAGTTCCGTTCCGACCTCATCTCCTTCACCATGTGCACATGGCGTTGAAGTTCCTGAGGGAAAGACTCCGCAATGGTATGCCCAGGGTGATTTCAAGTCCCTTCGACCAGTGCTGGTGTGTGTACACGGACGCTTCTTTCCATTGTTGCGATCAGGGAGGACTGGGTGGTGTTCTGGTGTCACCTACCGGTTCAGTCGTGGCATGGTTTGGTCTTTTACTTGATGACAAGCAGATTCAGCCTTTCTTAGGCGCGGAACGTAAGACTTGCATAGGTGAACTGGAAACTTTGGCTGTGCCTCTGGCGTTGCAGATGTGGTCATATTACTTAGGTAATGCTGAGTGTGTTGTACACTTGGATAATGAGGGTGCCCGATTCGTGCTTATCAAAGGATATTCAAAGTCGTCTTGCATTTCGCGTGTGTGCTTCCAAGTGGCCACCGCTATTCCTAAACCGCCGTTTCCTTGGGGTTTGGGAGGGTCTGCTTTGGGTTCTGAGAGCTGGAATATGCAGGAGCAAGCGCGAGTGGGCAATTGGAGTAGTCAGCGTGCAGCTTCTTGGCCCTTTACCCCTGTTCCACCCCCTCCTAGCCTTCCTTCATCCTTGTCGGCATCAGGGCCACAGGACTCTGAGATTCTGGGTAGGTGGGCTT